CCCTGATTCGATTCAGTACAGGGTTACTGTTTTTGCTGGTTTCCTTTAGAGAAAAGGGGATGAGCCGGGTTCTGGATTCGGTACAAACCAGCACTCTAGCCTGATTCGATTCAGTACAGGGCTCACTGTTTTTGCTGGTTTCCTTTAGAGAACAGGAAAGGAGCAGGGTTTTGGATTCGGTACACACCAGCGTACCGCCCTGATTCGATTCAGTACAGGGGTTACTGTGTTTGCTGGTTTCCTTTAGAGAAAAGGGAATGAGCAGGGTTCTGGATTCGGTACAAACCAGCGCTCTAGCCTGATTCGATTCAGTACAGGGTCCACTGTTTTTGCTGGTTTCCTTTAGAGCACAGGGAATGAGCAGGGTTTTTGATTCGGTACACATCAGCGTACCACCCTGATTCGATTCAGTACAGGGATTACTGTTTTTACTGGTTTCCTTTAGAGAACAGGGAAGGAGCAGGGTTTGGGATTCGGTACAAACCAGCGTACTTCCCTGATTCGATTCAGTACAGGGGAGACTTCGTCGTGCGTGTATCATTAGCAAATTGCGACGCAACTACTCGAATTCTATTGACTCCAGGTGGTTCCCTGCAAATCCTTCTTTTCGCGGACTTCCTCGCCTTCTACATCTGTGGCGTCTCCTGCCTCCGAACCGTCGCGCTGTTCGCGGATGACAAAATTAACGACGCCGGGGATGCGATTGAACTTCGGGCGTTTCCGTCCCGCGCTCCGGAGGTGGAGCAGAAAAGGCTACGAAGAAGAAACCGGCAGGATCCCGCGTACCAGCAAGTCCAATTAGACGACCCGACGGTGATTGGGAGACCGGAGTTTGATGATATACTGTAAAGGAAGGGCGGCATCTTCCTCTTCGCTTGGAGCCGCGAGTCAACAACACGACGACAAACGACATGATCATCTGAAGAGGTGAAATACGTAGCGACTACGACATATTTTTTAGTGGCCGGTCTGGAAATTATCCAGCGGTCCGTCACAAGAAGTTGAGAAAGCACGGAAAAATCCGAATACGCAACAGCAGTAGCTGCACGACTAACAAGTAACCTATTAAGCGCAAAAAGTCAAAGTTTACGAAGAAAGATCAAAAATGTCCCCGTAGTAGAAGAAGTTTAGGTGAGACCTCGTATTTTTTTGAAAGTGGTCCGACTCGTATGGTGGACCCAGAGAAAGCCACAATACTGATTGAGGTCCGGCCTGTCAAGTCCAATCTATTTCTGTAGCGCATGGCAAAATAGAGTCTCTTTTTTTTCGAAGAAGATCATAAAGCGCCCCCTTTGGCAAGTTGCGAAAGGTGCATCAAGAGTCTATCAGTAGATAAAAAGCCGCTTCTGCGCTGTGGAAGTATGCCAGCTGTACTTACGCAGAGGCCGAATAATCGTCCGCGCGCTTATGAATACGAGAGTCACGTTCCGAGGGCGCACTTACGAACTTTAGTTTTTTTTTTGGTGCTCGTTTTTGCTTGAGTTTGAGTTGGTTTCTGATTTTTGCTTTTGTGTTTTGTTCGCTGTGCGCTTTGCACAAATAAGGGCGAGAGACACGAAAAAATAGCAGCAGTGGCAGAGTGATGGTTTCGTGAGAAACGACAAAATTGTTGAGTGAAACTTGTCGGAAAAACGTAACGCAGGTTTCCTCGATGACAAAAAGTTGATCCACTACTTCGTCATTCGTCGGCCACATAACTCGATGGCCAACATCGACGGTAAATATTGTGCAACAGTAGTGTCGTCGTGTTAAGTTGTGCTATTATCTTATGCGCGCACGCCGATCACTGCATTGGTATTTCTCCTCCTCTTTAGTAAACTTTTTTTGTACTACTCCATCTTCCTCATCCTCGGGAGAAAGTCTCCGTTCTGTTGAATACTTCACTCTAGTTATTTTGCTGTTGCCCTTATTCGAAAGACCAAGAAACGACTCTGACCCAGATCCACGACGCTCAAATCGCCCGACATGCTGCGCGCTCTATTACAGCAACTCAAAACCGCCGGGCGAGCGCTGCAATACCGAGTTGGGCTGCGCCGAGGACCACCTGGGAGTGGTCTGTCGGATTCCGATTCCGACTCGCTATCTTCGGAAAGCAGCAGTCATGTCGACGAAGCCCACGTCGTCGCACGGTGGGAGAGGGTAGGAAACCAGGCGATGAAGCGAATGCGGCGCGAGCGGGTCAGCGTTCCGTCTCTGGAAGTCATCGAGGGCTGGGCAACACTCGCCGTGCGGCTTTTGAGGAGAAGCCTGATTTTGGGCGAAGATGAAAGTGAACAAGAAGCGAAAAGTGTGGCACTTGATGCAAAAGACCGATCTGTGGTGCTTCAGCACCCAATTCACTTCAGGGACGCTACGGGTGAGCTGCTTGTGCAAGGTAACTACGCTGAAATTAGCACGTAAAAGTAATCCGGATGCTGGCCGTTTATTTGGTATGCGCAACTCTACTGCAAATTTTACAACATCGACATTATTTTCAATTTATAGCCAAAGCGTAGTCGTGTTGATCGGACCACTTGACAGAAATTTCAACTTTTGAGGTTGCGGACCGGCAAACGCGTCTCCTGAGGAGTACCGAAACGAATTCCTCTACCGAGCTAAACACGCTTCGTCGCAGCCAGTGCCACAAGAGTGCTACGACATGCTGAAGAGCCCGGACCACAGCCCGTTGCCGCACGTGGATACCAACACGACAGTCCCGAATAACACGGGCGCTTTGCTTCGATATCGGGTGGTTTGCCGATTCCCGGTGCACGCACGAAGGGGACCCAACCAGCAAGCGCGCGAGCGCATCAAGGCAGACGCAAAACTGCTAAGTGCGCCAATCGACGCCCGCATTCGTGCAATCGATAAAGCTACCGGAACCAACAATCGTGGAAGGGATTCGCCGCGGCGCAAGGCGTTAAAAGAAGAAATGTTCAACGTGGAACGCGAGCACTGCCACTGTCGGAAAGGGTACAGCGAATACAAGGACGTCCTGGAAGTGCGCTTGTGCTCGACCGGTGAGCTGCTTGTGTTCCTCAACGACACCTGCCTGGGCAATGCGTTGCACTTCCGCGCGACGTCGGCGCCGTCTTTCATTTATCCACCGTCGTTCGACGTCGTCAATGGGATCCGCACCTTTCGCGTCAACAAAAACATTCTTACGACGGTTTGGTGGTCTTGGCAACCAAATAAGCGAACGTGGACCTTCTCCCTCGTGGATTCTCCACCGGCGCGGGAGAGTTTTCGTCTGATGCTCTGGGGAGACGATGAACACAACTTCGAGGAGTTTTATCCCTGGCCAGATTCCGACGAGCTGCCCGACGGAACGGAGCACTGTTACGAATACCTAATCCTGAAAGCGCAAGAAGAGACGCTGCTGCGGTGCCAATACTACGCCTCGCTACCGATCGCGCAGCGGCTCTGGGCGGTGCTGACTCGCGACGAGATGATACCTGCCAGAAGTAGTGTCTCGGACACTGACAACGGGAACGAGGTAGTAGTCCGCGTCCCGTCGCTCGTGCCCGCCCGCACGACAGAAGACAAGCGTCGCACCTACAACATGCTCAAGACGCTGTGTGAGACGTACCCAGCGTTTAATGCGGTTCGCTACGCGTTGGAAGAGAATGCCGACAAGGACAGCCTGGTTTTCGAGACGGTTCGCCACGCCGTCGAGAATACGGATTTAGAAGAGCCGGGCGGCGCGGAAGTGGCGCCGACTGAGGTCGCGGTGATGATTCCCCAGAGCGACCTGCCTATCAACAATTGGGCGTGCTGTTGACACACTTTCTGGGATCCAACCTGCGAGGTGAAGAGCTGAAATGATTGAAAAAAAGAAGGAACTCCTGTTGAGCGACGCAGCAAAGCAGCTGCGGCATAGACAACGGAACGAAAGAACGAGCTTTGTTTGCACCAAGAGTCTATCAGTAGATAAAGAGCCGCTTCTGCGCTGTAGAAGTATGCCAGCTGTACTTACACAGAGGCCGAATAATCGTCCGCGCGCTTATAATGAATAAGTACGAGAGTCACGTTCCGAGGGAGAAATTATGTATGAATTTCTGTTTTTTTTTGTGCTAGTTTTTGCCTGAGTTTGAGTTGGTTTCTGATTTTGCTTTGAGACCCTGACGCTCTGAGACCTAAGCCAACGAATCACGACGGCAGCGCGGTTTTCTTGTGTTTAGAATGAGGGGAAAAAAATACGCATAGCGTCGTGATTTCGCTTTGTGGATTTTTTTGGGGGATCCGCCCGCTCCCCGGGGATCCGCCTTCGCCCAGGGGATCCGCCCGTTGCCCGGGGATCCGCCCGCTCCCCGAGGATCCGCCCGCTTCCCGGGGATCCGCCTTCCCGCAGGGGATCCGCCCGCTCCCCGAGGATCCGCCCGTTCCCCGGGGATCCGCCTTCGCCCAGGGGA